CGCTTGATGTGGAAATGTAGAACTTGGAAGCAAATAAGCAAAGATGAAACATGTCAACTCAAAAAGGTTGTAAATCAACATCTTAAGCAATGATCCAACAATCCTTTGGGGAGAAGCAACTACTCTGGGCAGGCTTGCTTGGAGTTTACACAGAAATTACACAGCTACTGAGAGGCAAAGACAGGATTCTGCCCAGGCTGCCTGGCTCAAGTCAGGCACTCAGGCACTCAAGTACTTTTAAACACTATGCTAAACTAACTCTTCTTGATCATCTCAAAGCTTTGGTTGAACACTATGCTCAGGACAATACTATATCATTAAAAGAAATGCCATTTTTCTTACCAACTGTAGTGACATTTTTGTGGTGAAATTTTTTTCCTTTGGTAGCAACCAGAAGAAACGAACTGCATTACATGGTTTAACTTTAACACAAAGGTTGGCAAAAAAAAAAAAAAAAAGTTTGAGAACATTCTTCAGCATAACAGTTTAAAAAACAAAAAACAAACAAAAAAAAACCAACACAATGCAACTTCTCAGATATGTGCCAGGAACACTCTGCCCTGAGGAGAAGCAAGAGAAAAAAAAAAAGTCTTAAAAAGCGTATCTATTAGATAATCTAACACAGCTTATGGAAGAAAAGAAAAACCATAGCAAATTCAGGGTGCAAAATTTCAAACATAAGTTTAACAGGAGAAAAATTGGCAACAAGGAGAGAGAAAATATAGAAATGTCTTTGTAGGTTACATGGAGATAAATCACCTCTACCCACAGTCACTCTCTATAGTAAGGCTCAGAAAACTATAGGCCATGAGCCAAATCCAATCCACTGTCTGGTTTCATAAACAGGTTTTTACTGGAACTAAGCTCCACTCATTCATTTACATATTTTATTGTCAATGGCTACTGTCACACTATCATGGCAGTGCTCAGCAGCTGCACCAGAGACTGTACACAAAATCTAAAATATTTATCATTTACCTTCTTACAGAAAAAGTGTGCCAACACTTTTCTTTTATAGCACTTAACACAATCTAAAAGTTATTTTTTGTTTACTCAGTTATTGTCTGACTCCCCCATTGGTAGGCACTCTCCATGAATAAAAAGACTTTGTTCTCCATCAAGACAGCATGGTACTGGCACAAAAACAGACACATAGATCAATGGAACAGAATAGAGAGCCCAGAAATAGACCCTCAACTCTATGGTCAACTAATCTTCGACAAAGCAGGAAAGAATGTCCAATGGAAAAAAGACAGCCTCTTCAACAAATGATGTTGGGAAAATTGGATAGCCACATGCAGAAAAATGAAATTAGATCATTTCCTTACACCATACACGAAAATAGACTCAAAATGGATGAAGGACCTCAATGTGAGAAAGGAATCCATCAAAATCCTTGAGGAGAACACAGGCAGCAACCTCTTCGACCTCTGCCGCAGCAACATCTTCCTAGGAACATGGCCAAAGGCAAGGGAAGCAAGGGCAAAAATGAACTATTGGGATTTTATCAAGATCAAAAGCTTTTGCACAGCAAAGGAAACAGTTCACAAAACCAAAAGACAACTGACAGAATGGGAGAAGATATTTGCAAACGACATATCAGATAAAGGGCTAGTGTCCAGAATCTATAAAGAACTTAGCAAACTCAACACCCAAAGAACAAATAATCCAATCAAGAAATGGGCAGAAGACATGAACAGACATTTCTGCAAAGAAGACATCCAGATGGCCAACAGACACATGAAAAAGTGCTCCATATCACTCAGCATCAGGGAAATACAAATCAAAACCACAATGAGATACCACCTCACACCAGTCAGAATGGCTAAAATTAACAAGTCAGGAAATGACAGATGCTGGCGAGGATGCGGAGAAAGGGGAACCCTCCTACACTGTTGGTGGGAATGCAAGCTGGTGCAACCACTCTGGAAAACAGCATGGAGGTTCCTCAAAATGTTGAAAATAGAACTACCCTATGACCCAGCAATTGTACTGCTGGGTATTTACCCTAAAGATACAAACGTAGTGATCCGAAGGGGCACGTGCACCCGAATGTTTATAGCAGCAATGTCTACAATAGCCAAACTATGGAAAGAACCTAGATGTCCATCAACAGACAAATGGATAAAGAAGATGTGGTATATATACACAATGGAATACTATGCAGCCATCAAAAGAAATGAAATCTTGCCATTTGCGACGACGTGGATGGAACTAGAGGGTATCATGCTTAGCGAAATAAGTCAATCGGAGAAAGACAACTATCATATGATCTCCCTGATATGAGGGAGAGGAGATGCAACATGGGGGGTTAAGGGGGTAGGAGAAGAGTAAATGAAACAAGATGGGATTGGGAGGGAGATAAACCATAAGTGACTCTTAATCTCACAAAACAAACTGAGGGTTGCTGGGGGGAGGGGGGTTGGGGGGGGTTATTATGGACATTGGGGAGGGTATGTGCTATGGTGAGTGCAGTGAAGTGTGTAAACCTGGTGATTCACAGACCTGTACCCCTGGGGAAAAAAATATATGTTTATAAAAAATAAAATTAAAAAAAAAAAAAGACTTTGTTCTCCAGTATATTTCTAGCACCTAGAACACTACATGGCACATAGAAAGCACTCTGTACAGGTGCTGAATGAATGGCATTTATTGACAGAAAGAAAAGAAAACAAACACTTCCCATCTTCCCATTCTTTCTTAGTCACACTTCAACTATTCACTCCACCATCTACCAACATGTGTCTTGTCAACTAACCACTGGATTTTTTGAGAAACGAATTAATAAATCCAATGGCTAATTCTCCATGTGACTTTCGGGATACCACATTTCTTAGTTTTCCTCCTCCCCAACAGGTCCTTCCTTCGTCTCCTTTGCAGGGGCTATCTCACTTCTGAAATCTTTCTTAATGTTGGCATACCCACTCAGTCTTCCAGACTTTTCTCTCAGTCCACTTATCTAGTGCCATTAATACTCTTATGCATTTCAAACTGAACTAGTCCAAAACCAATCTTTCTATGACCAGCTCAGTTATAGTCTTTGTTATCTCAGTAATGTAAATGTTTCCACTTGCTCAAGCCAAAAACTCTTGGGGAGTCAACCAACCCTCAACCTTTTATATCCCATATCCGACCCACCATCAAACCCTGGTGACTCTATCTTATAAGTGTATTCCAGGTTAATGATCACTTCTAAGCACCTCCACTGCTACTACTATCTTAGTCCAAGCCACCATTATCTCTGGCCTGAGATGACATAAAAGCCCCCTGGCAATTTCCCTGCTTCCACCTTTACTGCCTTATAGTTTACTTTCATCAGAGCAGCCAGGGTGATCATGTTTAAAATATAAATCAGCGGGCACCTGGGGTGGCTCAGTTGTTGGGCATCTGCCTTTGGCTCAGGTCGTAATCCCAGGGTCCTGGGACCAAGTTCCACTTCTGGCTCCCTGCTCAGCAAGAGGCCTGCTTCTCCCTCTCCCACTCCCCTGCTTGTGTTCCCATTCTCGCTCTGCCAGGTAAATAAATAAAATCTTAAAAAAAAAAATACAATAAAATGTGTATCAGCAAGTTGCTGGATGCTCAAAACCTTCAAAAGCTAGCTAGCTCTCATTCCTACTCAGAGTTAAAGTCTCATATAGTTCCGTCCCCTGAAGGCTTTCTGCCTCTTTATTCCCTCTACTGCAGACACATGGGTTTTTATGGCCATCCTAGATCACGTCAAGCAAGCTTCCATTTGAGCACCTTTTTACCGGCTGAAAGGCCGTTCTGGTTTAATTAAATGAACCAAGACTCCTGAGTCAGGCCCTTCCAAGAAGTACTGTGTCAGCTAACTCTAAAAACAAGTCTGTGGAGTATGTTGGGACATCCCTGCTTTACAGATCAGGAAAGTGAAATTTACGGGTCACCTAACAGATGATGGAGTTGGGGATCGTCCCTGCTTAGTGTGCACGGAAGAGGAGCTCTCAGGGAAGTTTTGCTGACCAAAAGGAGAGGGCTCTGATAGTCCTCTGAAGTCACAGTGATTCCAGTTGCTAAAGGTGCACCTTGACAGCTGGCGCAGGATATGAGAAAAGGCAGCCAGAGAGTTCGGAGGACATCCAGAGGAGGAAGTCACCCAAGCCAAGAGTGGCAAGTGTCAAGGAAAAGAGAGAAACGTCAAATGGGACGGAGACATCCACAAACCGAAGACTCGCGCTCATACCTCACCGTAAACCACACCTGTGGTAGACCGCAACTCTCACCTTGACGTTAAAAAAAAAAAAAAAAAAAAAAAAAAAAAGACGCATCTTCTGACGATATTGGCCAGAGATATCCTAGATACTGCCACTCTGCCGCAAGAGTAAGAAACTAGGCTATAGGGACGCCTGGGTGGCTCAGTTGGTTAAGCAGCTGCCTTCAGCTCAGGTCATGGTCCCAGCGTCCTGGGATCGAGTCCCACATCGGGCTCCTTGCTCGTCAGGGAGCCTGCTTCTCCCTCTGCCTCTGCCTGCCATTCTATCTGCCTGTGCTCGCTCTCTCTCTCTCTCTCATAAATAAATAAAATCTTAAAAAAAAAAAAAAGAAAAAAAGAAACTAGGCTATAGGTAAGCGCGTGACTAAGAACACAGCTTCACACCTACGTTCTCCTCCAGCCCCGTTAAACAAAGTTTGTACGTGTGGTGGCCTTTAAGGGAGGTGATTGGTTTTTAAATTTCAGAAGGCAAAGAAAATAGCCATTATTTTCTTCCAGGCTCTCTGTGGGTATGAGGGATCATCGCTGTCTATAGCCCAGAGACTTTTAAGAGACCAAAACAGCCAGGGGCGAAGGGGATGCTGGCCCTCACCCCAAACTGTTCCAGCATCTTCTCGCCTATGCCTCATTTCCTCCTTGTCCCACAGTCACGACTGCAGATACCAATCCACCCTCTCCCTCGCATCCCCATCCCCCAGCCATATCCCGGGACTGGCCCCACAGAAGCCCCACACCCCGCAGTGGCCCGGGCGTGAAGACCCCGCCTCACCACGGCTCCGGCCACAGCGTGGACCAGGCTCTCGTAGGACAGCACGGAGGCCATTGCTGCGGCTCCCCACACATGCAGCAACACTTTTGCCTCAGGAGCCGCAGCTAGCGTAAAGAAGAGCCAGAGCCCGGGACTTAAGCGTCACAGGCCCCACCTTCTCAGGTCCGCCTCCTCGAGAACAACCACTTCCGGGTCGTGAGGCGCCGGGTCTCTCACGCGGAGGCTGCGGGGGCGGGAAGGGGTGGGGGGAAGGCGACCCTGGGAAAGTCCCTCGACTCTGATTGGCCTTCGGGGCATGCGTGGGCGGGACAGAGACTCTCTAGCCCAGACACGCGGAACACCGTGACAGAGAGCCGGGAGCCCTCCCCTGGGTGTGACCGGAGTACCCTCGAGTTTGGGGGCCTGGGGTTGTGCTTCAACATCGGGACTTAGGCCTAGATGGTCACCTTCCCTCCATAAGGCAGGCTGCTAACCGGCAAGATGGGGACTCAGATCGTCCTATTTTTCTGCAAGTTAACTCTTATTTTCTCTCAACAGTATCTTTAAAGTCACATTTTGGAGCTCCTGGGTGGCTCAGTCCTTAAGCGTCTGCCTTCAGCTCAGGTCATGATTTTAGGGTGCTGGGATCCAGCCCCCAGTCGGACTCCCTGCTCAGCGGGGAGGCTGCTTCTCCCTTATACTCTGCCCCTCCACTCTGCTTGTGCTCTCTTGCTCTATCTCAGATAAATAAAATCTTAAATAATAAAGTCACATTTTATCCGAAAGGAAATGTTGATTGGGCAAGGTTCTCCAACCTTAAAACCCCACCCCTCTACCCCCGTGTAGTAGGAAGACAAAATGGAGCTTGGGATCAAAGTGATCAGATGCAGGTGGGATTATACTCGTTCGTAACTAAGACACTCATTTAAGCCCTTTGGTTTTTCTTTTCTTTTTTAGAGGTTTGCTTATTTGTTTGAGAGAGCCCAAGCAGGAGGTGCACACGGAGGGAGAATCTCAGGCAGCCTCTGCGCTCAGCGCAGAGCCCTACGGGGGCGACGGGCGCTTCATCTCACCATCCTACACTAAGACTTGGTTGCGCAACCTACTCTGCCCCCCAGGCGCCCAGGTTTCAAGTGACTGCGTTAATGCAACTCCAGTGCTGTAAAGATTACAAAAGCTAATGTATGTAGACGTACTTTATGTTTAAAAAAAAAAAAAAATCTTCACATGTTCTAAAGCAAAGAACCAAAACTACAAAGAACGGGAGAAACCACTTTCAACCTCTAACGTAGGTCATACTGAGACGCAAGGTCTCAGGACTCCAACTTCACGCTACTGGAGTGCTACTGCCATGTCTCCTCCAGCTTCAGTACCATCTGAGTTTCCCCTTCAAATACCCCTTGTGATAATTCCTGAGCGCTTACTACATGCCAGGCTCCATGCTTTATTATACCTGTTACCATATTTACTGCTCAGGAGAGGGCCCTAACAATGTTTCCCCGGTCGTTTTTTCCCCCCACAAAATTTTCATAAAATATTTCAATCGCCACTGGTCAAGATATTTCCACTTAAACTCCCCTTCATTTAGAGTGGTGCTACAGTGACCACAAATTAAATGAAAGGTGAGCTGGGGACACGAGTAGATTTAGTGGTATCTATATGTACGGTTTTTATGCCTGTCCTCCTGTTGTAGAAATGGCTTCCAGGAATACTCTCAACACTCCCTAGGATCATGACAGAAAAGCGCAGGTCCAAACAGCAGATAAAAATAGTTTGCTGGCACTAAAACAGAGGTCAGTTACAAAATTTAAGCAAAAGACTCCGTTTTGTTTTCGTTTTTCTTTTAAAGTGAGAGAGATCACAGAGGGAGAGGGAAAAGCAACTCGGTGCTGCGCAAAGAACCTGATTTGGGGCTTGATCCCAAGACCCTGAGATCATGACCCAAGCCAAAGGCACACGCTTAACCAACTAGGCACCCAGATGGCCCCAGTTTTTGTTTTGTTTCTTTTTATAAGATTTTGAGAGAGAATACGAGCAGGGGGAGAGGAAGGACAAGCAGACTCCCCATTCAGTGGGGCTCATCCCAAGACCCTAAGATATAACCTGAGTTGAAGTCAGAGACTTATCTGACTGAGCCACCCAGGTGCCCCAGAAGATTCAGTTCTGACTCAACTTGGAAGCACTCTCCTGTAAAGAATATACTGGGCTACGTAGCATACACATTTATGATTATTAATTTTATATATTTATATGTAATTATTTACATATTCTTCATATATTATTTTATGTATTATTAATTGAATATAACAGAACTGATCACAATTCCCACTTGTAGGGCACAAAACCAGAGCAGGTAACATACCCATGTATTCTTCTGCATCGCAGCAATCACAAGTATTTTGATCAAGGTAACATTTTCTACTGAAAACACTACAAATCATGAGCACACAGCAAAAAATGTAACAGAGGGACCAGGGTGGCTCAGTATGTTAAATATCAGGCTCTTGATTTTGGATCAGTTCATGAGCTCAGTCATGAGACTGAGCCCCACATCTGGCTCTGTGCTGAGCGTGAAGCCTGCTTAAGATTCTCTCTCCCCGCCTCCCACCTCAGCTCCACACACACACCCTTCTTACATACCTTCTCCCTTAAAAAAACAAAAAACCTATATACCATATATTAAAATTATCTCTATAGGGATAGCTGTTGCTCAGTCAGTTAAGCATCTGCCTTCTGCTCAGGTCATGATTCCAGGGTCCTGGGATTGAGTACCGCATCAGGCTCCTTGCTTGGCAGGGAGCCTGTTTCTCCCTTGGCGTGCCAGTCCCCCTGATTGTGCACTCTGGCAAATGAAATATTAAAAAAAATTTTTTTTTAAAGATTTTATCAGAGCCAGAGCATACAAGCAGGGGGGAGTGGCAGAGGCAGGAGACTCCCCGCCGAGCCAGGAGACTGATGAGAGACTTGACTCCAGGACCCTTGAGTCATGACCTGAGCCAAAGGCAGACCCTTATTAACCCACTGAGCCATCCAGGCGTCCCAAAACAAAAATTTTAAAACAAAACTACCTCTATAGTTGTGATTTTGAGAGATTTCCATTTTTTTTTAATTGCAGTTTTTGCTTCCTTTGTTCTAACCATTTACTTTTATATCATAGTATTCATAATTACACATCTTCCTTGAAGAGGGCTCCCTGAGTTAGAGGCATCAAGTCACCCACTACCCAAATAGTATATAAAAAAATTATGCGTGTTCTTTTACACCCATGCCATCAAACACACAGTGGGCTAAAGCAACCTATTCAGAACTAACACTTCGTGTACAGTGCTTCTACACTGGCAGATCTATGCACTGCAACCGGACATCCTAGTGACCTGGGGAGAGTGAACTAAAAGTCTCTTTTAGGGGCGCCTGGGTGGCTCGGTGGGTTAAGCCGCTGCCTTCAGCTCAGGTCATGATCTCAGGTTCCTGGGATCGAGTCCCGCATCGGGCTCTCTGCTCGGCAGGGAGCCTGCTTCCCTCTCTCTCTCTCTCTGCCTGCCTCTCTGTCTAGTTGTGATCTCTCTCTGTCAAATAAATAAATAAATCTTTAAAAAAAAAAAAAAAGTCTCTTTTAAAGAGCTCTCTATCAGATACCTAGATTTTCAGAGTCTCATACATGTATTTTACATTAGCTCTACTTACCTCCTTGCTACCGTTTCCTAATACTTAACAACTTAACGTTACGATTCCACCAAAAAAGAATGTAAAAATCCTTAGAGACAACTTCATGGAAACTTGTGAATTTATACTCCTACCAGCACTACACAAAAGGTCGCATTTAATTGCCAAGATATTTAAAACCTCCAATTTGACAGGACATAGTTTAAATTTACTCTATCAAAAGCTTAAAGGCTATTTTAGCATTTGCTGCCTGTTTACTTCAGGGTATTTTCCTCCCCCAACTAAGCACTCTTAGTAGGTATTTGATATGTTGTAAATACTTAACTTTAAAATTATTGCACCATAATTTTTAAAAGTAGTTTGTTCTTGTCCCCATTACTGGGCTTGTCACAAGTGTTCCAAGCACTTCAATTATGCTATTAGTAGAAATCTGTTGAGTGTGTGCAGATCAGTACACCCAATGATGTGTGATATTCCTTAATCAATCCTCTTCAAGTGTATTTTATTTCCAATTTCTTGAATTCATGAACAATTCTGCAAGAAGCAACCTTGTACAGAGAGGGCAGCAGAGCATAAAAGAGGAGTATCTTTGAAGAACAAGCCTAGTGAGAATTCCAGCTCTACAAATAATCAGGGGTGTTAACCTGGGCAATTTAGTTAAGTGCTTCAGTTTCCTCATTTATATACAAAATGGGAGTAAGAGCACTTACCGTTCCGGTCATTATCAGAATGGAGTCAATGCTTTCAAACGGATTAGAGAGTACTTGGCACAGGGTTAAGTACTACTTACCTAAGTGGCTAGTTGGGTGCATTAATGTTAGATATTAGTAAATCTGTTTCTCCCTTATCCCATTAGGCCAATATTTCCTAAAATGGCAGCCTGCTAGTTGTTACCCCAGGTCTTGTCTTCCTTTTGCAATTTTTTTATTGGGCACATGACCATACTGCAGTGTACTATTATTTTTTAGCTTTCCTTTAAGGTAAATATGGTCTTGAGTAAAAAAACAAACGAAAGAGAAATGGGGTATGTAAAGTAATAAAATGTTCTCTGTGTATCGGTATTTCAGTATGTTTCCCTGGCGCCCTCTCCTGTTCCCTCAGGCTAAATGATGAGCACGAGAGTAGTAAGCACTTTTGGACTTGGAAATGGAAGCTACCTTCTGACTACGGCAGAATGGCTTTCCTCGGGACTGTTACCTGAAAGAAAAGTAAAGCTCTGTTTAACATCTAAATATTCTTAGAAGTCACTGTTAACAGCACTTTATAAACTGAAGCCTACTATGTCCAGCAAATAATGTTGAGTGCTACAGACCTAAAAGAAAAGAGTATCTGCTGGGGGGAAAAAAGTGTGTGGGGCTGTCAATATCCAGTTTGAAACCATACTTTATTTTTAATGTAGCGAGAAATCCAATAACTATATATTTTTAAGCAAAAACAAACAAACAAAAAAAAACCTCCTTTACATTTCCTTCTTATACCATTGTTAGCTCAAGAAAAAACACTTCTGGTCTAGAAATGATACTGAGTTTCTATGAAAATGAATGTACTTTGTATTTGTGGAACTTAAGAGCACAGGACACATTTTCAGAAGACCAATTTTACTTTTACCCACTTACGGTAATATCTGCAATGTTAGAATATACTTAAGTAATATATAATTAAGTAACAAGTAAATCAAATAAGGAACCCAAAAGGAACTGGTCTTCTTAGGTTATTCACAGCACACATTAGAAAATTCGAGAGAGAACACACATTACCAACAAAAAAACCACTGACAAGC